GGTACCTGTAGTCCCAGCTACTTGGGAGGTGGAGGCAGGAGACTCGCTTGAGCCCAGGAGTTGGAGGTTGCTGTGAGCTGTGACGCCATGGTACTCTACCCAGGGCGAGAGCTTGAGGCTCTGTCTCAAAACAAAAAGAAAAACAAAAACACAGATAGAAGAAATTCAAAGAACTCCAAGCAGTGGAGAGATTGGAACCCTCATACATAGCCAATAAAGAATTTTAAATGGTATGGCTACTGTGGGAAAGTCTGTCAGTTCCTCAAAAAGTTTAACATAGAGTTATCCATATAACCCAGCAATTGCATTCCTGAGTTATATATCCAAGAGAATTGAAAACATGCTCACACACAGAGTTGTACACAAATGTTCAGAACAGCATTATTCATAATAACTAAAAAACTAGACACAACTAGTTTTTCTAGTTCTAGGTCATTGGTTTCTCCACCAATGAATGGATAAACAAGATCTGGTATTCATACAATGGAATATTATTTGGCCATAAAAAGGAACAAAGCACTGATACATGGAACCACATGGCTGAACCTTGAAAACATTATACCAAGTGAAAGAAGTCACAGAGAACAGCATATTGTTTTATTTCATTTGTATAAAAAGTCCAGAATAGACAAATCTGCAGAGACAAAAGGTTGATTAGTATTGCCAGTTGCCAAGGAAATAGGAGAATGGGGAATAACTATTAAGGGCATGAGGTTTCTTTCTGGGGTGATGAAAATGTTCTCGAATTAAGACAGTGGTGACAGTTGCAGAACTTTGTGAACGTATTAAAAAACACTGAACTATACATTTCAAAACAGTGAATGTCATGGTATATAAATTATCTCATTAATAAAAGCAAAAAAAGGAAAAAAGGTTAAAAACTGCCAATTTAAAAATGGGCAAAAGACTTGAACACTTCACAAAAGAAGATCTACAAATGGCAAGTAAATCTTGAAAAGATGCTCAACATCATTAGTCATCAGGGAAATGCAAATTAAAACTGCAATGAGATGCTATTACCTGTCTTTTACAGAAGACTATATGAAATGTGGGCTAGAGTATGAAACAAATGGAACTTTCATACACTGCTAGTGGGAATGAAAAATAATTCAATGAATTCAGAAAACTGTTTGGCAGCTTCATAAAAAGTTACATTCATTTACCATATGACCCAGCCATTCCACAACTAGGTATCTACCCCAGTCAAATGAAAGCATGTCCATTCAAAGACATGTACATGAATGTTCAAAACAGCTTTATTTGCAATAGCCAAAAACTAGAAACAAACCAAATACCTATCAACAAGATGAACTGAGATGTAGCTACATAATGGTACAGCATTCAGTAAACAAAGGGAATGTATTTATACATTCAACATAAATGAATTGAAAAATAATTATTCTGAGTGAAAGAAGCCAAACAAAAAGAAAAAATAATATAGACTGACAAAGTCTCACTTTGTCACCCTGGCTAGAGTGCTGTGGAGTCATAGCTCACAGCAACTTCAAACTCTTGGGCTCAAGTGATCCTCTTGCCTCAGCCTCCTGAGTAGCTGGGACTACAGGCTCCAGCCACAAAGCCCAGCTATTTTTAGAGATGGGGTCTTGCTCTTGCTCAGAGTGGTCTCAAATCAGTGAGCTCAGGCAATCCCCCCTCTCCCCAACTCAGCCTCCCAGAGTGCTAGGATTACAGGTGTGAGCCACCCTGCTGGAACCTGTATAAAATGTTTTTTTTTTTTGAGACAGAGCCTCAAGCTGTCCCACTGGATAGAGTGCC